CCGTTAGACGTCAAATAGACGTCGTTGTGCCGGCTGGGATATATATATATATATATATATATATATATATATATATATATATATATATATATATATATATATATATATATATATATATATATATATATATATATATATATAACAACAACAACAACAAAAAGCAATATATTTACCAATAATATAGATGTTTTACAATAAGCATGTTATAAAATACAAATAAATATATATATATATATATATATATATATATATATATATTATATATATATATATATATATATATATATATATGTTTAGTCTATATTCTGGATGGTTCACTCTCATATAGCCTGGCTAAATCGAGGAGAGCGACCATGATCAAAACAAAAACGAAAGAAAAACAAAACAAACAAAAAAATAAAAAAACAAAAAAACAAAAAAAAAACAAGCTAGCTAATACATTCACATAAGGTTGCTATTATTTAACATTCATATTTATATCATATCTTTTATAACTTCTATTGCCATAATTTTTTTATCACCAACGATTCAATTATTGTTTTAATTTATCTTAATGTATCAGGTAGTCTTTTTATTTAGTTTTAAGAGTATATTTTTTAATATTGCAAAAAGGGATTGTTTTTAATTTATTTTGAAGTTGATTCCAGTTCATTATTGCAGCGTATTTAAAGGATTGTTTACCATAGAATTTTGTATTGTATGTTTGCACACTCAGAGCACCGCTACAAGAATTTCTTGTAAATCGACTGCTAATTGCACTGCGTGGAGTAAACCATTCATCAAATATAGGAGGCAGTTTTTTATTAAGGCAGCTGTGAATAAATAAGCAATTTTTAATTTTATTTAAATCGTGTACTTTTAAGATATGTAATATGTTAAAAGATGTGGATGTATGTGAATTTTTGGAAGAAATTCAATAATTCTGACTGCTTTTTTCTGCATGATAAAAAGGCGGTTAATAATACTCATATTTTGACTCCATGATAAAAAGCAATATAAGAGGTGAGAGTGAAATAAGGCATAGTAAATAGATTTTAAAGTTTTTTGTTGAATGAAATGTCTTAGTTTTGATAGAATAGCAAGGGATCTATTCAACTTATTAGAGATATTGTTATAATGATAAGCCCAATTTTAGTTTTCGTCTAGCTTTATACCCAAGTAGTTAACAAATTTTTTACAACAAAGTTTTTTCCCATTTAATTTAACTTTGATCTGCTGGTCTAATTTTTTGTGGGAACTTTTAAATAATATTAAATCAGTTTTTTTGGAGTTGAGGGAAATTTTGTTTGCATTAAGCCAATTGCATAGTTTCTTAAGGTCATAGTTAACATATTTGTTGATTTTTTTTTACAGATTTAATAAAGTAGAGAAGGTTTGTGTCATCTGCAAAGTGTTGGACTCGACAAAATTTTAATGCTTTAGACATGTCATTTATATAAATAAGAAACAGCAAAGGGCCAAGGACAGATCCCTAAGGAACACCTACTTTGATATCGTTTAAGTTTGAGTTCACTCCACCAATAGGTACTAATAGAGTTCTATTAGTAAGTAAAGATTTAAACCAGGAGTTTGAAACTCCTCTAATACCATAGTAGGATAGTTTAAAGAGTAGAGTGTCAACATCTACAGTGTCAAATGCCTTTTGAAGATCAATAAAAATACCACATCCAAACATTCCTTCATCAAGAGAATTTTTAATTTTTTCTGTTAGACTTAGTAAAGCAAGTGATGTAGAGTAGTTTGTTCGAAAACCAAATTGTAGATCACAAAACAGTTTATTTTCATTAACGTATTCGTATAAGCCGTTAAACATTAGCCTTTCAAGAATTTTATCAATGTTGGAGAGGAGAGAAATTGGCCTATAGTGTGACATTATTAGTTTTGAATCATTTTTAAAAATAGGTATAACTTTGGCAGTTTTTAAGTTTTCTGGGAAAATACCGCTTGAGAATGAGGTATTAAAAATGTTAGAAAGAATTCTTGAAAGTTCAGTTTTAGAATTTTAACTGGTAGACCATTTGGTCCAGAAGCTTTATTTGAGTCTAAAGAGTTGATAATTTTTGAGATTTCATGTTCGGTTTTATAAAGAAAGATTTTTGAGCAGGATTTGATAAGTAATATGTGAAATGGTTCATGGATGAAGGAATTGTTGCCTGGACATCC